CCGGTTATAGCGCCAATATCGAGGTCCCAATTACAAACATATGTTGGCTCGGTTGGCGGGAGCCCAAAAAGACGGTGTCCATATATAGTGAGGCCATCAATGAAGATTTGTGGATTATCTGGCGTGGAGCTAATGTATGCTGTTATAGGACTGACATTGACCTGAAGATCTATCCCCATATATAATTGTTAATTGGGCACTTAATGAGAACGGGGTGAGGAACCTACCCATGTAATAATTAGTGAATCTCATATCTATCCCCAGCGATGCAAAGTTCAGCTTCAGATTCTTCCCGGTTCCCCCATAAAGATGTTTTGGCATGATGACACAGCTGTTCTTCGCTTCCACAGTCAACATGACATCTAGATCATTGGCCTTCTTATTATTCCCTTCAATCGTTGTAGCTCCGCTTCTTCCTCCCTGCTTCTGCCACTCTTCTAATGTCTTAAAATGCAAGTTCTCGCCGAAGTAATTCTCCCTAATCACAAGGAAGTAACGTATCAGGAACCCAAACAGCTTTAGTTTTAGCCCACTCCCTGAGATATCCAGTAATAATGTGTCGATTAACCCTGGTCCAGCGGTGGCGTAATAGTTATAGGACCCCTTTACCATGATCTCTTTGACTGTCGCTAGCTTCATTCCAGTTTCTGGGCTCAAAAATGAATGCCATGTATTCCATACTGGCTGTCTGACACCGAGCTGAAGGTTGGTTTCTTCACCGTCGATCCATATATCGAAGCTTACCGTGCTTTCATCTGGCCTAAAGCGTGTCATATCCAGGCCAACCTTAGCCTTCAAGCCGCCATCTCCGTGAAGAACTAAGAGTGTATTGTCCTCAATATCACTTGGGTTGTTGATGATATTCTGGTCATTAACATTCATGCACACCTCAAATCGGTCTTCAAATCTGAGTATGATGTCATATAAAAACGGTGTAAAACTCCAGTATTCTGATGGCGGCCCCGTTGCCCAGTCTGTTACCAAGTCTGTTATCAGTGTGACATGCTCTCTAAGAATAAATATCTCAATACCCCGACTAAGGACATCGAAAGTCCATTTATGTTTCCCGTTCCACTGCAATGGACCGCTAAGGTCGGCATCTATGGCCTGTTGTGTTGCCTTCCAGAGAAGGCCATGATTAACCGATGATCGCACCTCAGGGCTTTTTAAATCCAATTTCAACCCGTTCTTCCAGCCTGTTGGCGAAGGAACCATGGACATTTCATAGGAGATTGTAGACTCGGCGGCAACCTTGATTTCCAACCATCCAAAAGGACGTACCTCACCATCGTCAAGTCGGCGACGAAATTTCCAGTCTTTGCTTTCTTCTCTGACCGGGATTCTAAGAATAGTGGAGCTAGAGAGTTCAACAAAAAGCTTGAACTTAGTTGCGATTCTACTCTCTCCCTCTTGTAGCTTGTTGCGTGGAGTAGCAGTTTTGTAGATTCGAGGAGCAAACATATTTTGTAGATGGACGCGCTGCCGGTCGGTCCAAGGCCCGTACTGAATAGTTCCCCCTTCAAACGACAAATCAATTCCCCATTCTGGAGGTGTGTGCTCAGAGCCATTGATATCTTCATCAGGTGGGTCAGCTACCCCACTGGTTTGGGTACTTGACGATCGTGGTCGACCGACAGTCCCTGGAATGTCCCAAAAAAAGTTCATTTTCCCCTTCGGACAATCCAACACTGTTGAAACTTTTGCATATTCTGCAGGCTCAAACTTCCAACCTTCATCTTGGCCCTCGTCAAGATACATCCTAAGTCCAACCCACCTATCTTGACCTGTTACTCGTGATTGTAGAGGAAAATCATTATTCGTAACATCGGAGGGTGTTAGAGATTCAATAGACTCCGAGAAAATTGGCAGGAGGTCTTTAAGCTTTTGACGACGGTTTCGTAGTTGGTGAGACTTTTGGTGGAGGTTCGTCTCTTCTTCTGAGGAGAGAAGGCGGTCACCGCGGGATACGAGAGGTTCCTTGTATTCCATATTTGTTTTAAATTGAACCACAGGATGGGTGAAGTCTACACTGAATACTTGTTTGTATTTGTCGACAGATGCAACTGACTGCGCAGCGGTATATGTTAGCATTTTATTATTGTAGTTGATGAGAGGCCTAGTCGAATTCCGGAGGCAATAGAAATATAAGGCCCAGAATATGAATGTTTACAAGAAGTATGTGCAGGTCATTGAAGACATCTAAGAACGAATTCGGCAATACCGGGCAGCATGTTGAAACAACGAAACATATGGGCGCTCAGGAGAGCATGTGGTTTTGTATTGAAAGAAAAAGCTACATACCCTTGTAGCATCAATACTGGCATCAGCTTTTTCAAAATGGGCAACTAGTACGCTAGGTGTATTGTTATTCCCCATAACCACAGCACCACGATTGACAAGAATCTTAATTGGCAGCATGCTGAGATATGCCGAATCAGAGTCTGCATTCGTGTCGGCATTTGAGCTTTCCCCCACTGACCCTTCGTGGTCTCTCATTAATGACCCTATTGAACTCTTCATCCTTGCTGAGATCGTTTCTGCCTTGGAATCATCGGCCCCAGAGTGCCCAGAATAGCCAGTCTCTTTCCTTCCTTCACTGGCAGCATCTTCGTTTTGTTGACTCGGCGCCATCTGATCAATAATATAATCGTATGCTGGACTCCGGTTGTAAATAAACCACTCAACTCCCTTTAGCTCTGCGAGTATCCTGCAAGGGAGATCATCACTTCTCATGTCTCCGCCTGCCCCCTCGATACCGCCATCTCGTCCATCATTGGCGGTGCCAACAGAAGCGTGTCGGACCCTCCGTAACCAGTATCGCCAGGTAATATGCCCGCTGACTATCGTTATAGTCTCGTTAACACCGTGATATGTGACTCTTCCAAAGAATATTCTTCCTGCCAGTAATGAAATTTGAAGTGACTGAATATCGACGTAGTTTGGTAATCCTTTCCACCGTAGCCATAATCGAATAAGAAGTGAAAGAGCTTTGGAGAAAACGCGATTAAAGTAAAAAAGAAAGAATAGAGCGCTGTAATATAGTTAGATTTTATACATTAGAGCTTTATGGGTAGAAAAGGGCCTTACACTAGTCCGCAAACCAAAAGTTCCACGAGGAATACCCTATGGTATCAAGTTAGTTACAGTTGTGAGCAAATCTCAAGCAGATCCGGGGAGTAAACCAATTGAATCTGGCGTCAGGATCGAGCGCTTGGGCAGGCAGGTCATCTGTAGCCATATTTGAAGCTGCGAATGAACCACCGTATGATATTGGCGTTGCAGGACAGCTTGGTGTGTGAGGCTCTAGAGGATCCGCGAAGTCAGGAGTTACCGCGTTGCGGCGGAAAGTTGGTATTCGGCACTGGAGATATCGATAACCCATGTTAACTGGGCGCGCGACATATCCTAACATGTAGCTGTCAGGCGGTTAACAATATTAGATACTGTAAACTGTCTCTAACGCAGACCCAGCAATGTAGATTCACATGGCCCGTGCGTCAGAACGGCTCTAATCACGTGGCCCCTAACTTTTTTCCATATTCTGGTATTTACATACAGCTCGATTTTAGCGCATCCATCCAGCTCCAGCTCCAGCTTCTAAAGGAATGATACTCATATCTTCGGATAAAAATGGGACAAATCGTTGAATACGTGGTAAGTATTAATTTACCTTCTACCATGTACCTACACCATATGTACTCTACATGCCTTTTCACAAAAGGACATCTAGTAGCCCGCCCAATGTCTTCTGTATGAAGTGTAGCTGTCCGCCTCTCTCAAGAAAACAGCATAGTAGTATGGGTCGTTGGGATAACAGTTCATGCATATCACTCACATTCGCTATTAATCCTGCTTGCATGCATTAAACTTGGCTTTGGATTGACGTTGGAGGCTCTTTCCATAGTGCTCAATGCTACGCCGATTAGTAGAGTAACTAGGCACTAGGATGTAGAATTGGACGCGACAGCTTGTAATTGATCCCTAGTAGATAAACACCAAGTGCACTGGTGCGAGCACGAGATCACCCTATCATGTCCTTCCCCACCTCCACATAATTCCCAAATACCCCCTCCTCACCGCTTTACTAACGTCTGCTGAAACTCCGTCGTAAGGCTATCCCTGGACGCTCTTGGAGAGAACATATCAGAGAATGGACAGTAAGACGACTGGGTTGGTTCCTGGTGGTAGCGGGACTTCCAAACTTAGTATGATGTTTCTTGATCTTGGGTCCAAAATAGGGATCCAGAATATACCTCGACAGGAGGTGCTAACAGAAAGTTCCTGGTGGACAGGCAACGCTGCCATAATCGTCGCTGGTATCGCATCTCTGGTAGCGACAGTGCTAGCTTGTTTGTAAGCTCTTCTTCCGAACTTGACAGCTTTAATGACCGTCTGTGACGGATTATATACTGATATGTTTTTTTCATAGCTCGATATGGCTTCAACTGTAATATAGACCCTAACTTGCGCTTTTTTCCAGCCCGTTCAATTAACCGGTAAAATCTAGTAAAAACTACCGCAAACCCCTCCTCCAACGATATGTCGTTCGAATTCTCCTCATGGTCCCAATATATGCCATATCATCATGGGTTTCCCTTATTTCACTGACAGCTGCATTCTTTGTCGATCCGATTCGCGATATTTACGAGGCCTTCACAATTTATACGTTTTTCCAGCTCCTTATCAACTTTCTCGGTGGCGAGCGCTCGCTCATAATCATGATGCACGGCCGGGCGCCGAAAGATCATGTGTGGCCTATGGACTATATACTACCTAAGGTTGATATTAGTGACCCACATACATTTTTAGCTATCAAGAGGGGGATTTTACAATATGCATGGATGAAGCCGGTACTGGCTATAGCTGCCATTATAATGAAGGCCACCGGAACTTATCAAGAAGGTTATGTAGGATTGAAAAGCGGATATTTCTGGAGTGGAATCATATATAACATATCAGTCACTTTAAGTCTTTACTCCTTGGGCATGTTTTGGGTGTGCATGTCGCAAGATCTTCAGCCTTTCAGGCCAGTACCTAAGGTTAGTCATATCCTTTTTGGTATGAGTGCCTTTTTTTAACATACGAAGTAATCAGTTTCTCTGTGTTAAACTCATCATCTTTGCTTCTTATTGGCAAGGGTTCTTTCTCTCTATCTTAGTTTGGCTGGGTGTGATCCATGATGTTGGCTATTATACCCCGGACAATATCGCACGTGCAATCCAAGATGTCCTTATTTGCTTTGAGCTTCCTGGATTTGCCATAGCACATTGGTATGCTTTTTCATGGAAGGATTATGCAGACCGCTCCATTTCAGCTGCCCGACTACCTGTTTATTATGCATTCCGCGATGCCTTCGGTATTCGTGATCTTATCGAAGACACAAAGCAGACATTTGCTGGCAAAGGCTACGAATATCGATTATTCGACCCTAGTGATAATGTCATTGCGCACCCGGAATCTGGTGCCAGAGTCGCAAGAATGATGGACGGGTTGAGATACGAAAGAGGGGGCAAGGGCAAATACTGGATCCCCAAACCAACTTCCAGGACTGGGCTGTTAAATAGCCCTGGTCCAAGTGGGAGAGAAAGTCCAATGAGTCCTGGAGAAGCAGAACGGGGGCCGAATAGATGGAGAGGCGCTGATTATGGGGCAATGGAAGAGGTTGAAATTGATGAGGATGATGAGAAACTTTACAGCCACGCGAGGGCGTTGGAATATGGAGATTATAACGTGGGTTTATGTTATGTTTTTGCAAAAATTATCGAAATTATCACTAATGGACGTTTTAGTATCCTGTTATCACCGCGCATGAGCCCTGGAGAAACCATCGTTGCAGCCATAACGGGCCGACAATGCCCACAACTGCCACTAACCAGGCCCTCCTCCGCCCCAAGCTGACTAAAAAGACCAAGTCCGCTATCAAAGGCAAGGGCAAAGCTAAAGAGAACGAGGAGGATAAAAAGCCACTTTTGCACCGCAACAAATCCTCATCTTCATCAGCTGTCTCATCCCGCAGTGACCTTGTCGACCTTATCGTTGAAGACACTGAAGCAGAAGAAATTGAACGTGTCCGCGCACGCAAAGAGGGTGGCCCGGGATGGAATGAGGCTGAGACGAAGAGATTCGTTAGGACGTATCCGGATGAGCATTACGGCGAAGAAACACGACAAGGGTTTGATCCTTCAGCAGATACGAGCATGGCTGGGATCGCGAAGGGTGAAGAATCCGAACGAGGCAGAATTACTCCAGAGAGACACGCTAGTGTCGATGGCCAATTTGAAGTAGGGGATGATGAGACCGAGACGGAAGATGAAGGTAGAAATGGCGGAGTGCACATCAACGGCGATTCGGGAGTTTGGGAAGATTCGCATGGACGGAGCGGAACAATTGAGCGTGAAACCAGCTATGGGAGCTTGAACGAGGAAAGAAATATTTGGGGAAGGCCAGAGTAAGATATTAGTTAGTCTAGTGGTTCTTATAGTCCTCTAATCGTTGTTGTTTGGAGTTAAGCATTCATTTGAGAATTTCTTTTTGTGTTTCCCTTTTTACATCAGATTATCAGTACATATACAGGACACAGATATGTACAACTATCTACTTACACCCCTGCCTGCCTGGGTTTCCTTTTTTGTATCTCGAGTTTTGTCTTTGATTTGATTTTGTTTTAGTTTTGGTGGGTGGCTGGGTGTGAATCTTTCTTTGAAAAAACCTGTTCAGCACATGAATGTTTTGGACAATTTCTGCCTAAGAACGCTTCACAGTAGAGAGATCTCTTACAGGTCCCTCTATGTGGACGATGCGTGTATCTGTAGACCTACACCGCTCCAAACGGAGACAGAGGGGCTCATCCGATCATGAAATTATTACCTTAATAGAGATTTAGTATTGTCCCCTAACCCTAGTCCCGAGTCAGACTTCATGAGGTTTTTTCGGAAGCCTTGGCACAGCGTTTGGGTTATGATTTGCACCTCTGAGCTCGAAATTTAGAAATTAGCTGTAGCCAAAACGCTCTAACCTCGATGAGCTATGGAGTGGGGCCGTTCTCCCATAGAAATTATCCCTGTCTCCATCACTTGCATGTTCTGGTTATGAAGGTAGGTAAACGAGCAAAAGCTTGTCACTCAAAGCACTGTCTTAGAATAGTAATAAAGGCTTGGCATCACACCCCAACTGCATACTACTAAGCTAGTAGAGCTTAAATTCAGAATTTGCGGAAATCTAGGATTAATTTTTATCTCCGTGAGTGACTCAACCTGAAATTCAATGTTCCAACCGATACAAAACCGCCCCCAAAAAGTCAATAATAGAAAATCAGAAGTTAAGCTAGGAATCTGGGCATCGAGGCACCCAGAGCTATAGTACACGGCGCCTTTAGTACTAAAACAAAGACATAGTAAAAACTAAAAAAAGAAAATTACACGAAATACCCCTCCTTCCCTGCTAAACCGTTATCATCATTCCCATAACTCTATACATCGTTACCTTTGTTAATTAAGCATCCACATATTTGCGCAAATCAAGTCTATAGTTACAGTTAGCCACAAGCTCTACATAAGACCAGTTATAAGAGAGAACTTACGTAAGACTCTTAGAACTACACTCGACTTGATCCCTAAAAATGCCAACAAGTGCCTCGCTCTGCTGGAACAAACCAGTTTTCAAACTAATAACAATAAACTGAAATCCCGGACCAGCGTGGCTTCTGATATAATTAGAAATCTTTTGGACATTTGCGTTGTCCAATGCTGCATCGACCTCATCAAGGACAAAGAAAGGGCTGGGTTGGTAAGAGTGGACAGCGAACAATAGGGCCAATGCAGCCATTGTCTTTTCTCCTCCAGAGAGATGTTCCATGTCGCGGAATCGTTTCATAGGGGGCATGGCGTGGTATTTGATACCATCCAGGTATGGTTCGTCGCTATCTTCCATATCAAGATACGCAGTTCCGCCCAAAGGAAAGGTACTGCTCTTGGTAAGGTCTTTATAAACACCGCCAATCTGCTCTGAGATGTGTGCGAAGGCCTTGTTAAAAAGCTCGTACCTTTTTCCAAGTTAGTACCCAACATATCCGGGAATCAGAAGAGAAGGTATTAAGATACCTTTTGTCTTTGACGGCCTGGAATCTGTCTTTGGCTTTCTTTGCCTCTTTTCTTGAATTCTCGAAATCTTTCTCTGTATCATGGAGCCTATTTTCTACACCTTCTAATCTCTCAATAGCCTTCATGTTCGGTGCCATGCGATCTAACTCGCCGCCAAGAGTTTTGATCTTCTCCAGTAACTGCTCCTCAACTTGCTCTTCCCCATTCTATTTACTTCATTAGCACGTGATCACAAAAGACTAACGATAAAAATTGAGTGATAACTCGTGTGTGAAGCGTACCTCCTTCAGGTCATCATCCAAATCCTCAAAGTCAACGTCTATTCCGTAATCTTGCACCTCGACTTTTTGAACTGCGCTGGCGCTTGGATCTTCGTCTTCATCCACATCCATTGCGTCAGGATCGTTCTGTTGAAGGGTATCATCAATTGGCAAGTCGTCGAGAGAAACGGATCCCTCTGTCAAGGGGATCTCGATTTCCTCCAATTTACATCTCCTGAGTACTGCATATCTTCCAGCGGCATTCCGTTCGATTTCCCCTTCCTAAATCATTGGTCAGTAACGATATCATTAAGAAAGAAAGAAAAAAATATAAACTAACCAACGCAGCAATAGTCTTCGTTGTCTCATCCAGATCTTTTGATCTCTTCCCAACCTCTCTCCTTAGCTCATTTACCCTCTCGGCCTTGCCTTCTAGCGCCACTTTCCTTCCTTCCAACTCACTCTTTAACACCTCCATCTCTGCAGAAAGTACGTCCATTTGTTCCTCGATCTGGGTCTTTTCATTTTCCAGCTCGGAGACGAGCTCTTGATCTCTCTGCGAATTCTTCTCTAGATTGGCTATACGTTCAGTCGTCTGTCGAAGCCTCTGTGCCTCGAAAGTGAGCTGATTTTCCAGCTTTGAGATCTGAGTTCTGAATTCTAGTCTCTTTTGGGCCGCCTCTTGCTGTAGTGAACCTTGGCGCTTCTCGTACGATCGGATATCCTCGTAATTGAGTCTCCTGCAGAAATCTGCGAAGATCTCATCCTCAGCTTCTGAGACCACTGATTCGAGCTCTCCAACTCTTGCACGAAGTTCGTCAAGAGATTTGGTCGCTTCATCAAGCTTTGGCTGGAGCTCTTTAAGCTGCCGCCGAGTGTGTGCCACCTCCTGCTTCTTACTACTCAGGTTCCTCTCAATATGATTCAGCTCTTCCCGGCTATAAGCCAGGCGCTGCTCAAGCCCCGTCAATTCACCCTGAAGCGTTTCCTCCTGGGCACCACGACGGTTCTTCGGGAGTGCGTTGATCTGCGCGACCAAGTTGTCTTTTAGTCGTCGCAAATTCTCAACCTCTTGATCTTCCCATCGACGTCCGCCGGGTCCTCCACCGCGTCCACCAGTCATCAATCCACCCTTGTGAATGACTGTGCCATCCAATGTGACTGCTTTGACCTCTAATCCTTTATCATAGCATATATACTTTGCGACCTCTAGATCATCGCAGACTACAGCATTTCCACAGGCGTATTGCATCGCCCTCTCTACTGCACCCTCAAACTCGATTGTATCAATTGCCATTCTCATGCCTCGGTGCATACCCTTCAGATTCGAGTTCAATGGCTTAACCTGAATTGTGTCGAGCGGAAGGAATGTGGCCTGTCCCGCCCTCTGATCACGAAGATACTCAATACAGTCTTTTGCGGTCTTTTCATTGTCAACCACCACCGCATCAAAATGTCTTCCAAGAACTGTGCTGACAGCTTCCTGGTACTTTTTCATCTTCGGCTTACAGAGTTCAGATACCCGCCCCTTGACGCCAGGGAAAATCCGCTTAAGGGCTGAAATCGTTTCCTTCATGCGTACCTCTCTCTCCGATTGCCGTCTACCATCGTCGGCTTCGAGAAGCTTGGTGAGGCAGTCTTGCAGCTTCTCGTCGAGTTCTGTGTGCTTTTGTGCATTTCGGAGACGTTGAGATGTCATGGCGTTGTATTCTTTCTTTTTTCCATCGATATCCTGTACAATTTGCTCCACAACAGCCGCCGACTGACTTTTTCGCTCTTCCAAATCTGCAACTTCCCCCTCCAGCTTTCCTAATTGCCATTGAGCGGATTCAACCTTGCTTTTCAAGCTATTGACCGTTTCAACATCGGTCTTTTGCTGACGATTGAAATTGTCGATTTTGATCTGTTCCCCAGCGATCTTGGTATTGACACGTTCGCGAAGCTTATTATACTCTGCCAAATCTGCTTCAGATAGTACCATCCCTGTCTCTTCAGCCAGTTTCTTTTGCTCGTCCTCAAACTTGTTTTGTGCCTTTTGCACAATACCTAGTTCCTTTTTTAAGCTATCGACTGTCGCAGACTGACTATCTTCATCCCTCCTGATATCCCTTATCCTGGCTTCGTACTTTTTCAGGTTTTTTCCGGCAATACTAATCTTTTCATCGATTGGTACAAGTGAAGATTGTTTCTCTTCAATCTCCTTCTCTTTTCTCTTGATAGCCCTCTCCTGCTTACTGACGCTTCTTGCAGCTTGTGCCTGTTGAGCCTTGGCTTCATCCAACCTGAGGGCGTACTTCTCATGAGAACGCCTGAACTCTTTCAGTTCCTCTTGATGTTTCTCAATCTCTTGCTTATTGGCTTCCATGGTTTGTTGAAAATGGAACAATTTCCAGAGAATGTGCGTCACAATGGCCTCATGTTTCTCATCTTGCTTGGCTTGGTAGTTCTCTGCCTCTTTCTTTTGCTCTTGATACTGCTTAATCTCGGCATTTATCCCACGTCTTCGGTTTAAATTGAAGTTGGACGTTTCAGCTGCCTTTTCTTGCTCAATTTTGAGCTTTTCATACTCAGCTTTATACTCAAGCGAGCCGCTTATCTGTTCGATTAGCCGTGTGAGATCCTTGGGCGACTGACTGGCAATTGCTTCGACATCACCCTGATTATACCACATATAAGTATTCCCCCGCAATCAATCTGAAGTACCACTTATAAAAAGCCCCACTCACCTGAAAGACCAAAAAGTTCCTCGCCTTGATGAGAATGTTTTCCTCCTCTAACGCCGTATTGTATTGCGCCGCGGTGACCTGCTTTCCGTTGATCCTGTATTCACTAGCGCCCTGACTAGTGATTGACCGCTTCCACTGCTGCTCGTCGCCATTAATGTCCTCATAGACAGCCATCACCCAGGCAGTTTTCGGGTCCTGAGTTCCCTGGGTTCCCTCATCATCATCCTCTTCCTGACCCTCTACACCATTCCCATTCTTAGCGCCTATTGTTGAGGTGCGGAGGACGCGACCGCGGTAAATTAGATCCTTGAGATGGGCAGAACGAAGATGGGATGACTTGATTCCGAGAACGAACGAGATCGCGTCC